TATAAAAACATTTTAAAAAAAAGATACAATAACCATGGTAGCTACATATAAAATAATGTTATATCAATAACTTAAAAAGTATGTTCTTATACCATAGCCGCATATTTGATTCCGAGAACTACTAAAAAGTTTAAGTAAATTCGTCAGACTTTAATATGGTATCACTAAATTTCCGACCAACTAATAATGAATACGTTTAAGTTCCGTAAAATGCTCTATTCGTGTTTGTTAAACATTTATCACATTGAACGTAAATAAACTAATGAGCTTTATTATCCACACGCACTCATTTAATGCAAATACGTTTTTCCGGTCTTTTACAAAATAATTTACAAGTTATACTTATATAATATCTATCTATATATATATATATATATATATATACATATGTATATATAAGTTATTTTTCTTAATTAAGAATAAACAAACAATCCTAAGAATGTGTTTAAATATTTAAGCAAAATACTTCCATTTTTTTTTTTATTGTTTAAAGAAAGTATCATGCATTTGAGTTAGCCTGATGTATAAATTGTCTGACTTAGTGTAACAACATTATGTTTACAACTGAGTGTAAACAAGTTTAAGCAACCACCTCAAATCGTTGTCATTTAACTTTTAGGTTAACTTACAACCTCTTTTGGAGTCTTTGTTGATATTATATTTAATACAGCCGTACATAATTAAAATAGCTTTTAAAGAACAACAATTGTAAGAAACAGCTACACATAACCGTTAGTCCTATTGTTATTGGGGAGATATTTAACACCGAATACAAAATATAAGAAACCGGATATCAACATAATATAGGGTCTGGTTGAAGTTATGAAATAAAAAAATCGAAATGGCGTTATAGATAAATTGCGAAAAAAAATTAGCGGGTATGTTGATTTTAAGTAATCGGATACAATACTAGTGTAAATATTAAAAAAACAATGTGCCTATTAAAATCGAATTGTAATTTACAAAAACTTTCAAAAATGGCCGCTTTCTGCACCTATAGTTTTTGTACTAACAGAACTAACAGGCCTCCACGGTGCTTCCTGTATGCTATTTGTATTCAGTGTTGTAAAATATTTTATTATACATTGTTATATGTTTTTATCAACTTCGTGGGTTGGTGAACTATGGTGATATATGTTATTTTTTATGAAGAGTCGTTTCGAAACAGATTGAGTTAAAATTCAGTTTGAATTACCAAAATCGTTCTGTTGATTTCCGGTTTAACAATATTACTTTATGTGTAAGGAACTATTAAAATTTTTTTTTTTATTATATCAACGTCGATGATAGTAAGCCTAAACATTTTTATAAGTTATAAAAATTAGGAAGTCTAAATCTACCAAAAAAAAAAATGAATAGGGGGCACATTGTTTACTACGGTATAACTCATAACATAATATAAAAAACGTAATTATTGTTAAATACTTTCTTTCGCTATAATAAACCTTTAGAATCTAATGAAATTAATTATTTTACGACTTGACGTATAAAATGTAATATCTGTACTCGGGAAAATGACTTTTCTAAAGAAATAATAAACATTGAAATGCTTTATGAAGTTGAATATATTGGCCTAATTTAAAATAAATAATAATAATTACTAAGCATAACAATAATAGCGGTAATCACCTTCCTATTGTTGAGCACATTACCATATGAGGTTGACCACCCTAGTTTTAGAATTGTACTTTTATCTACGTTCATTTTTTCTTGCTCTTTCTGCTTCTTTTAATCTGGCCTCTTTTGCATTATTTGTTATTAAATTTTTCTTTGAATAAAACTATATTACCTAGTAACACCAACATCTAAACATGATTGTTTGTGGAGTTATGAAGTTTATTACAAACAAAAGCACTGTACACTAAATATTTTATGTAATGTTATTCCCACCTATGTTGCTAAGATTTTTTTGTCCTTGTCCCGTTTAAAAATGAAGTTCTGATGCAAAAAGGAGGTCCGACTATTTCATTCTAATTGTTATTATTAATTTAAAATATAACATTTCCAACTAACTTTTAATTATATTAAATTCTGTTTTGATTAATATATTATATTTATAATATATATTTATAAAGTAAATAATAATAACTAACCCCGAGAAAGAATTAAAATAAAATATTAATATTATAATATGTAAACAAATTAAAAAATTTGTAAGCTTGGAGAACATTTGTTCAAATAACTGTTTGTTGGGAAATACATATTATAACAAAAATAATTACCAATGACTTGTAACATTTTCTTATGTTATAATGTGTAATACAAAATCAATTAATAAAAAAAAATGTCTTAATGATATAACTCTTTTAAAAACAAGTAAATGTCTCTCGGTAAGTTAAGCTTATTACAAAAATGTATTTTGTCCAAATCCATTATACAAAAAATAAGAGTCGATATTTAAAAAATACACTAGCACATAATGCAAATATATTACATAATATTCATTTTTTAATTTATATTTGGTCTTGACGATATATTGGGACTGTGTTATTCCACAGCAGAACCAGTAAGTTGTTTATTTACAACTTACAACAATATATTATTACAACAAGATTAATGCTACTAAGACCATATTCGCAAAAAAAAAAGTTAATAAACAGTTCAAAACATTCTATGTGAATTTAATAACACATAACCGCATAACATCATAATATTTTATAAAAAATATTTAGCCGAATAAATGTTTTATTATTATCATTATTATAGCGAAAATGTTATTCGTAACCAAATGAAAATTGTTTATTGTGTTGTGAATATTTTAGTATTTATTTGCCGTAAATTTAATTGCTTGAACAAAGCTCATGATTGAGAGGGGAACCTTGATCAAATACTCATTTAAATCTAACCAAAATCCATTATTTTTTTTAATGGAAAAGTATAATGCGCCGGTCGAAACACTTTCCTGGACGATCGTTTGAAAAAAATAATATATTGGGGGAGGAATTTTAGTTACACAAGATAATAATGGAAGGCAACGGGAAACCACCGCACCATAACCACTTCCCCAAGATGGCAACTCTTCTAACAGGTCGTAGACTAAAAAAAAAATGAAAACACTTATAAATCGGTGGAGGTTACTATAGGTGTGTTGTTGGAAATATTTACCTATATTTTCAATTTATTGGTTTTGCCAACGTTTCAGAAGCCTCACATCTTCCACCTACAGAGCTGTGTTGGTTACGATGTTGTTCTCTTCGCTGTTGCATGTAGACTAAAGCGACCATGTCCTCGAACGACACACAAAAAGGCTGAGACGATCGCTATCGAGTTCAGTCTATAGGCAGCAGCAGAGCACACCACACGGTAACCAAAGCACCTGAAGATTGAAGATTTTGGCAAAACCAACTTGTAAATCTAGGTGTAACCGTTAACCATGTAAATATTTCTAATAACAACAATAAAAAGTTGGTGATAAAAAAGTAAGCTTCAACATTATTCCCAAAATCGCGTCATTTTCTCCATTGCGTACGTTTCTAAATTGTTCGCAGTACGACGTTTTTCTGCAAATCACTAAATAATATAATACGAACAATTTCGTCGAACTTTTAAACTTTTTACCGGACCGAATTAACCAATAATATAGACACTCTAAAGACCTTGTACAGAGTCTGGGACCTTTTAGAATATAGAATATCGACAAACTAGTCTTGGCTTACGGCCAAAGAAAAACAATAATGCATCTGTTTTGTTTTCATATTTTAGTCGTTACAGTTCATACTGATTACAGCCCCAACACGCCTTAAAATGTAAATAGAAAACATACATTTTATACTTGGCGTAATAAATCGTCCATGTCTTTTTAGTAAAGAAAAAAATCTTAACTAATTATGTTGGGAATTTTAAACGTTTTCAGGTAACTCTCTACGTTAAAGGTAAGTTTAAATAACTCTCTCTCCAAAGTTCAAAACATTTAACTTTGGAGCCCGTGGTAATTAGTATTTGAAGTGGGTTGCGAATGGCTTAATATGGTTCAGGTTTTAGCTGTCAACTAAGTTACTTTATTCACAAACATATTTTGTGCGATTGAAAATTCCAAAATAATTTATCATAAAATATCATTCGAGTTAAACGTTGTATGAATAATTAGTTTTTATATTTTAGTCGACATATTTTATTGAATTTGTTTTAAATTTTACCCAAATCAAAGTCTTGTGCTATGCCCGAAGTCGATTTAATGCCAACCGATTTGCACGTGGAGAAGTTGTTTATTGGAATATCCATTTATATTGTCTTTGATTATGGCTGTCGCACAGGCGCTAATATTGTCTATTTACCGAGGTGAACGTTGGGAAATTAATCAAACCGTGACGTTTCATCCTGCTCCGTCTATTATTATTATTTAGGCAACGACGGAGCACAACGAACGGCTTATTAGATAATACATATATATATATATATATATATATATATATAGAGTACTATATAATGAAGTAGTACAGCGATATATAATCGTGGTTGTACGGCAAGTGCATGATGATTTACGCTTTGGTCCCCAAAAGTGATCAGTACATTAAACCCGGACCACCAGTTGATTTATTACCATACAAGGGTGTACGGATAATAATTGTTTTCATGTATTATTTTGATTTATATGTGTGTGGGAAACGTCGGTAATGCCGAGTAATTGATCAGCCGTTTTTTAGATTTAATACCTCCATGTTTACTTATTTATACTACCTACACACCAGTGATATAGTCGTTAATTTATACAGGGTTTATCCGAACTGATTTCTACACTATGTCACTCAACGTGGCGAATACATTGCGACGATTAGCATATTTTAATTTTAAAGTTTGAGTTTTTAATGTATTCGTCGTAAAACAATGGTGTGAAAAATATACCCTGTGATGTCTGTTGCGGTGTTCTCTTGTAATATTTGTAAACGATGAATTTTATTTATCTACTAGTTATAGATGATATATTATTATCTAAAAATAATATTATAGTGTGACTTTAGATGTACCCACTTAATTATAATTGATTTTTTATTATACGACAGGTGAAGTTAGCAGTAAAAAATGCACCAAGTCATCGACAAACGTATTCCGCAGTCCTTGCGTTAAGTTTTCGCCACAACCGTCGCCCAACAAGCCCGGCAAGTCTAGTAAATATCAAAATTACAACGACCCTTACCGCCGGAGCAGCGGCGACTTGAAACCCACGCGGTCTATTTTTTTAAATGAGTAAGTAACTGTTATATTGTGATCATTTTTAACAATTATTTTCCAATCAAACGATAAAAACCACAATGGTCCTACAGATATAGTGCACTAGAATTATTACTCCAACCAAATAGTTAAAAATATATAATTTTACTTATCTATTTAACTATAGCATGAGTACAAAAACACATGTTTTTCGCCTTGTCTACAATAAAATTACAGCACCCTCTATACATTTAAATTGGTTGAAAAATAATTGGATAGAAACAACTAACGATACTGAGTAATAGTGATTGAATATTGTTTAATTTCCTTTTATTCTTGATGACTAATCACAGATTTGTACATAATCGTATTTGTTTTGAAACCAAATTCATATCATACTCATTCAAGAAAATTATCTCACTGACATCTGACTTGAATTCTTATCTGATTTGTCTAGTACTAGCTAGGTAACCATTTTTGACACGCTAATATTAAATACAAAGATATAAATTATTTAAATCTATTACAAACTAATACAACATGGTTAAAATTAAAGAAGATATCAATTATAAATATTTTAAACATATTAGCGCGTGTAAGAAGCCTGTTATCCCAGCGTGAAATAGAAATTCATGTTTTGTAACATTATAATGAAAATAAATGTTTTTTGCTGTTATTGTTTTGTTTTTGTACTTTCTTCGCAGCTTCTTTATTTATATTTATTGACCAATAAGAACATTTACAAAAACTAAACGTTCCATTAACCTAAATATTTAAATATTAGGTAGTATTTATTACTTAAATCACCCGTAAAAGCATATGTTTAGTTAAATCAAAAAATGTTTGAAGTACAAGCAAAAGTTAAAAGTAATTTTGTTTTTTTTTTATTTGGATAAAGAGGCCAAACTGCGGTGAATGTTAATTTATTAAAATAATTTTATTTTTAAATTAAAAATTATAAAAATAAAAATTATTTTTATCATTTTGCAAGCGGATTAATGAAATATATTGTATGAGTGCTATAATAATATCATGAAAGCAAAAGTAAATATTAAGTATTGAAAAAAAGGCAACGGCCGCGTTTTAGTCGTAAAAACTAATGCACCGATAAAAATGTATTTACATAATTTATCGCTATTATTTTTAAAAAGATTACCCGACTAAAATGGTTATTTATTTGAACGCCATTAGCATATAATCTGTTTTAATTCACAGCTCGCTTCTGTATAAATATAAAAAAATACAAATGCCTTACTTTGCAGTGTCATCATTAATGCCAATGTCTGCAGTATTCTCAATAAATTTTGCAGATCACGATTTCATTGTTCTCGTTATTTAAGTAGTTTTGTACGTAAAAAATGATATTGTAATATTTTTCCAAGGCAATTATTATGACCCTCGGGTAAATTTTAATTAACCACAATAGCTAAAATTCATACCATACATAAATTATAGTGCGGTTATTTCAAGTGAAAACCTTATAAAATATAAATATAATCATGTTTATTATTTGAAAAATTAATGAGGTGAATATATTATTGTGTATTATTACCCCGACTCTTTGTTTTAATTAATTATTAACAATGGCAGAAATGTCGCATATTTCGCTTTTCTACCCGGAACTAAAATCAATATGCTTTCCTTTGATAAATATCGTGACCTATAATGGGCTTTATAACTGTATGCATGCAATATGGATTATGTATTATGCACGACTTTTACTATTAAGTATTTAATTATACTATTAAGTATTTATTTATATATGTTTAATATATACTAGTATATAGTAATTAGCTAATTACGAAGGGCTTATTATTACTAGTGGATTTATGATAGCTATAGCAACACCAGATACTTAGTAATCATATTGAAATAATATATTAACTACAAATCTTTATTACTGTTCTATTGTTTATTATTAGTATCAAGCTATTGTTCGCTAATAGGAAAGTTAAAACTGTTAGTCATTAACACATCTATTAATTATCAGTGTAATTGAGTTTAAGATGAACGTGCTGAACGAAAATTGAGATTCAGTGGTTTAAGCTATTAAGAGTTATTGTGCGAACAAAAAGAGAAATAAAAATAAAATTAGACGCGCCATTTTTAAACCAATATTTTTTTTACCGGCTTTGCTTGAACGCAATATATATATTTTTTCTTTTATACTTAATGTATGAAGAATTATATTTAATGCAATGTTTTTTTAAAATTTTTTGTAAAAACAAAAAATGTTTAGCTCTCGGCTACTCTTGCAATATGTATACAAACATGAATATAATTATCCGTTCGGCGTATTAGTTACTGTAATTATAGATTTGCTTTCTTAAGATTTTCACTATCGCTCGAGAAAAGACGCCGCGCCGTGTCGATTTTGTTGAAGTATTTTGAAATTAATTTTGAACGTGTACAAGCGAATTCTTTCAATTTGAATATTGACGATACATTTAAAGATTGGACACAACCACAATAACTCGTTTAGTAATATCATTAATTTTTTTTTCTCTTTTTAATTGCCTTTATTAGTATCATTTAAATTAATATATATACATTTATCCATAAACATTATAATGCGGCAGAGCAAGTATATGCGTTTAACGATAATACCATGTTAAACCTCAGTGTACTAATCTACTAATGTAAACATTTTAAGCTAATAACCCTGAATATATAGTAGCAATTTAATTTATGATACAATTTCCATTTGGCAATTGGCAGCTATCACAGCAGGTTGTATACAAACGTCAACTCGTCACGACAAAAATTATTAAAAGGCTTGTATCAAATAATACGAGACGTGTATTAGCCAACTCCGAAGAAATAATACCTATATTTTCCTTTCTTTTATTATTCACTTTGTCCTAAACGAGAAAAGTTAGCCACTCTATTATTTTTTTGTCGAACAAAATATATCGTCTGATGTATTTCTTTAAGAAAAAAAGGAAATTTTTGTGGTTCGAGTTACGACACAAAGACATTGAAGCTTTTTTTTTATGCACACAAAAATCATATTGTTGCAAATACTAGTCGACAGACTGTCGGAGTCGAGTACATAGTATACGAGTACTACATGTATTTAATTAAATCCGAGCAAACAAGTTTTATTCTAATAAAATGCTGTATTTTCTTACAGAGACCGGACAAAAAATTTAAAAGGGTTCATCTACATTACACATATTATATTATTCGCGTGTGATCGTGAAAAAGTGGATATTATGTTATACAATGGTTTAATGCTCGTCGCGAGTTATTTCAATTTCATGGACGACAATAACAAAGATACCGGCGGCGGTACATAAAATTTGCCGTCATAAAATTGCGTTTGCTCTAGAATAATATATTATATAATATTGTACTTGGTTTGCCGCTTTTATTCTGCAACAAAGTCTCGCAAGACGGATACTTAACGTGCATAAACCGTTTAATGAAAATAAAAAAACAACTTTTACTGCAGTGTTCATAGCTTTTACCGACCGTTTGCTATTGCAAAAACCAAGAGGTTTGCCGATTAAGTTTATGTCAGGAATGCCGATAAAATGCGCTTTTCCGGTCTACGTTCTATTATTGCCGATGAGAGAAACACCATAAAATCCTTTTCCGACCAAATGTAGTTGCTGTCGAACGCAGGATTCCCGCAAAATGCTCTGTGAAGTACATACTATACACATCACACTACGTATATTAGATGGTTTATAATATGCTGCGAGATAAACCCCTAACATATTATGGAATTTCCGTGCTGCTGATAAAGTGCAGTCCTCGGGAAAAACTCGCGTTGTAATAAAAACTGCGCAATATATAATTTATTAGTACCAGCCAATCGTGATGCATCCGACCTAGCCGGAACAAAAGCGCGCTACCGTCGGTCTAAGTAATACCTGTCAACACTTGTCAACTGATATGTTATTTTGTTTTCATAAGATGCTTTTAACTATATTCAAGACTCTTATAAGTGCTCTCGGCGTTTGACTTAACTTGTCGTTTCTTTGTCATTGAAATAAGTTGTTCACACTATTATAAACGCGAAAGAGTTTGAAACAATTTGAAGCAGTTACTTCATGATCAAATCTAATGTGTGCTCTGTGAGCTTCTAATTTCTGTCAATTTAATATACACGCGTACAAATTTTATATATATTTATATTGATTCATTTCTAATATGTTGTTGGGTGGGTAAAGAAACAGTATCGTATTGGTGCCATTTATTTTTATTTTTAAAACACTATCGCCAACTTTACATTTTCTACACAAATAATTAAAGTAGAAACTATAGTTTGCTAAATAATGATTATTGTCTAGATAAACGACAAGGTGTAAATTGTTGTAATGAAAACTAGAGAGTTTTAATTTGGATTCGGTCCAGCGGTTCAATTTTCTCGTGTACATAAATTCAAGAAACACTATAATATAGCCGTACAGAAATCGAACAATTCCTTCAAAAACTTTGTTCTTACAATGTGTGGTATAATATTGGACCATGTAAAATGATCACATGGTATCTGTATAACAATACTGCACTACAGAAATGTACAATATCTCAAAAGCCCCGTGACCTCCTTTAAAATATGAAAAACTTAATTTAACTACAACAAAAGAAATGTCTATTGACCAAATTACCTAATAATAGATAGTTAATAAATGGGTCAATAGTAGGTACTTTAAATGCCATGGAACTTTTAGGAAATACTATTTATATTAAACAACTTAATAAGTACAAAAAAGGACTCTTTATAATATTGGTATATCATATATAGGTACTACATATGGCTTACTAGTGTATGCGTCCAATATTTCGTATTACTTATATATAGATTGCATAGCAACCATCTGCTTAACAAATACATTTTTTTTATTCTCCAAAAAACAGTTTATTAAATATTTGCATCTCTACTATATATTAGTGTTTTAAGAATTTTGTTTTATTTTTTTGGAAACGTTACTACCCCATTTACGTACCTACTCATAATTTTAAAAAATGTTTTTATTTGTTACAGTTTTTTGAAAAGTCCAAGTTAAAATATGCTAAACGCTTTGTGT